ACACCTACAAACACCATTCATATAGTGAAGGATATAAAACATCACACATCATCCCACACAGACATCAGTACATGTAGGAAACAAAAAAAGAAATCGAGGTATGACTGGCTAATTTTAAAATACATGGCTAGAATTTAAGAATTATCAACATATAAGCTTGCATAAACAAATATGGCATATTAGGGCTGTTCGATATAACGATATATATCGGATGACGATATAAAAACATCTATTGTTTCATTTTACGCTAACGTTTGTTTCGTGGTGTCGCAAAATAAACTGTTTACGGCGATATTTTTTCATGGTTCTGATGGTCACTGTAGTTATTATTAATTTCTTAAAGTTCTCTCTTTCTCTTATATTTAATAGAACCACACTACGGACGGACAAGCCCTGTTTTTATGGGTTGTCATTAGCAACAACGACGGTAACACCATCACGTGTCCGCTTGTTTATTTTCCACATAAACCTTTCACAAGAAAGCTCAAGATCCTGTTGAGACTTTTCAAAATAAACTGAATCACGTGAAAGAGCAGATTATTTACAGATGAGAAGCAAAAAAAAGAGCCGTCAGGTGCTAAAAAATAAAGCTTAGACTCAAACGTTAGAACAGCTTTTCCCCGCAGCACGCCGTGTGATAAATACTCACAAAGAAAACGGCGCCGTTACAACTTATGTCTAAAAATGTATCGTTTCATGCATCGGTTAAAACACTCGACTCCAGCTACACGACGCGCAGCTGGAAACACTTCACACAAGTCGAGCTGCCCGAGATTCACAGACTTTACAGAAAATGTTACTTTTTGTGATTTATATCGTTATCAGGACGATAGATGTCTTATATCGGGATATGAGATTCTGGTCATATCGCACAGCCCTATGGTATATCTTTATTTACCCTCCTGCAGGTCAGCGTTTTTCTTTTTTACCTCAGTTTGGGATTATCTCATTTAGCAAAGTAGATGTTAAAAACCCCTCAGTGCCTTTCATTTTAAGCTAGAAACAGGGAAATCTTTAGTAATGAAGGTTTGAAATCAACTTACTGTTTATAGATGTCATGCTTGCCATGCCTTTAATGCCCCTGGACAGTCAAGCGAATAGCATTTTGGTAAACCTGACTATCTACTAGACAGTGCGTAATCCTCTTTGGCCAATCTAATCGGGGAGACATATGCCGAGTTGGCGTTGGATAGTGATGAGTGGTTTAGTAGCTTTAGGAAGATGATCAGACATAAGAATGGACTAGATTATCTCCGTGCTCATCGCCTGCAGTGAGGCAGCAATCACTATTTATGCTTTAATGTCATGCCTTACTTTATATTTGACCCAAACCTTGAACTTTCAAGATGTCTGTTGTTCACTGTTGGGGTATAATGATAAAAGCCTCCAGTTTCTACATATCTCTTGGAGTAGTTGTTGTGCAATAGGCAGTTGGTTTAACCCTCTCAGGCTCAAATTAAACTTTTTGTTGCTAATGCACAACCAAGTCCTGCAGTGGTACTTCTGAGTAAAAAAATATGTATGTGGGGTAATCAGGTTGTTAGTTTTTAACTGTTGCAAATTGGCAACGCCTGGCTCGAGAGGGTTAAGACGCTACGCTGAAGACTAATGCCACTTCTCCTTGTTTTGACTTCGCACTAAGCACCACTACCATACAGTTCCCATTGATCTAAGAGGTCTTAAAGTGTTAAATTGCTTTAGCATAGCATTAACCTCCTAAGACCCGAACTCTTCCTCGGCAGCATTTTTAATTTCTCTTTGATATTTGGGCTGATTGGGGCCCGATGAATGTAAAAACAAAGAATTCTTTTTTTTTTTTTTACCTAATTTTTGTTTCTAAGAAAAATCAGAGCCACATATGAGGATATTCATTTAAAATTTTGATAGAACAGTAGCAGCATAATGTCCTCGTAAGTGGATATCAGGCCCTTGTAGAGCGAAATTGAGTATTTTGGTCTGAATAACCCAAAATGTGATGTCCACATATGTGGACGCAGGTCCTAGGAGGTTAATATAATTAGGGAAAGCTCCATGTATGGTTTTTTAAGTAAGTCATAAAAATCTTAAAATAATTTAGTGGCTTAGGGCAACAAATGTAGAGACATAAGAACTACAGTAATATGGTCCTTTTGGTGTGAACTGTCCTTTAAGGATTCCATCTATTACAATA